TCCAATGGAACCAGAACCAGCGGGTCCAGTGGAACCAGAACCACTGGGTCCAGTGGAACCAGAACCAGCGGGTCCAATGGAACCAGAACCAGCGGGTCCAGAACCAGCGGGTCCAGTGGAACCAGAACCAGCAGGCCTAATTTGATTCAGCATCACCAGGATGAAGGAGAACCTTAGAACGTTCTAGAATGGGCTCCTGGTTGCTATGGTTACAGAAGCTTCCAGATGTTCTGCTGCACTCAGAAGGACCTGAACCGACACCGGGACCAGAACTTCATCTGGACTCCTGGCTCTGGACAAACAGCTCAGCTGGACCTTCAGTGGACCTATAGGAGGTCCAGCATGGAGAGGTCCAGTTTGCTCCAGAATCGCTCCGTTTATCAGCCATCTTTGTTTGCAAAGCAAAGTCCATCAGGAGACGGAGCAGCCAATCAGAACCCTCTGCTGCTGCTGGGTCTATCTGGGTCCGCTCGGCGCCCCCAGTCTGTCAGCAGCAGCATGAAGGTAGGAGGCTTCCTGGTCCTGGNGGAACCAGAACCAGCGGGTCCAGTGGAACCAGAACCACTGGGTCCAGTGGAACCAGAACCAGCGGGTCCAATGGAACCAGAACCAGCGGGTCCAGAACCAGCGGGTCCAGTGGAACCAGAACCAGCAGGCCTAATTTGATTCAGCATCACCAGGATGAAGGAGAACCTTAGAACGTTCTAGAATGGGCTCCTGGTTGCTATGGTTACAGAAGCTTCCAGATGTTCTGCTGCACTCAGAAGGACCTGAACCGACACCGGGACCAGAACTTCATCTGGACTCCTGGCTCTGGACAAACAGCTCAGCTGGACCTTCAGTGGACCTATAGGAGGTCCAGCATGGAGAGGTCCAGTTTGCTCCAGAACCGCTCCGTTTATCAGCCATCTTTGTTTGCAAAGCAAAGTCCATCAGGAGACGGAGCAGCCAATCAGAACCCTCTGCTGCTGCTGGGTCTATCTGGGTCCGCTCGGCGCCCCCAGTCTGTCAGCAGCAGCATGAAGGTAGGAGGCTTCCTGGTCCTGGCGTCGGTTCTGGTCCTGGTGTCGGTTCTGGTCCAGGCGTCGGTTCTGGTCCAGGCGTCGGTTGTGGCGTTGGGGCAGCAGACCGTCAGCGTTCAGCAGGCGGGGAACGACACGGCGTCCGTCCGAGGTAACGCTGACTCGCTGACCGTCCATTGTCTCCTAGCTCGCCGCGTGACGTCCATGTTCTGTCCGGTTCCGTCCCCTCAGCGATCTGTGATCCATGGTCGATGCTCAGCCTCTTCCTGTTCTTCTCTCACCTCCATCCGTCTCCATGGAGACCAAACGCTGTTTATATCATTGAAAAACTTTCATTTAAAAGGTTTTCATGAGATCTGAAATATTTAGTTGGTTTTTTTGTAGGATTTTATTTCAGAATCTTCTCAGTCATGAAAATCTATTTTTTTCTTTAGTAGTTTGAGGGAGAGAGATTTGTAGGAATTTTATTTCTATTTTCCAGATGTGGACCAATAGAAACGCTGTTGCTAAGGACCGCAGGGCAGATCTGGGATCAGATTGTTTGCCCCATTAGTTGCTCTGAAAAACCTTTTTTTAAAGTTTTCATATTTTGGATGAATTTCCTTTAAACCTGTTACCCCCCCCCCCCCCCACAGCGCGTAAACAGGAGATCATTAAAGTGACGGAGCAGCTGATTGAGGCCATCAACAGCGGAGACTTTGAGGCCTACACGTGAGTTCCTCCTCCCCCATCCTCATACATCTCCATGGCTGCTACACTGACGGCCGTCTGCTGATCTATTTCAGGAAGATCTGTGATCCCGGCATGACGTCCTTTGAGCCGGAGGCTTTGGGAAACCTGATCGAAGGAACCGACTTCCACCGCTTCTACTTTGAAACAGGTAAGGACCTTCAGGCTGCTCGCTTTGATCCGGTCTGCGGGATAAACCGCCCCGCCATCGGTAGAACCTTTACTGATGGTCTTCCTCTCTTTGCTGAGATGAAGACCAGTCGGACTCTGACCTTCATTAAACGTAGCCTCCTTAAATCAGCCAATCGGGCGGCCCCTTGCTTTACCAGGAAGCAGGAACGGATCAAACTATGAATAAAGGGGAAATTCTGGACAGAATGTCCTGGTTGTGCCGAGTCCAACCCAGTCAGAGACCCAGCTGGTTCTGGGACCAAGACCTGGTATCAGAACCCAAAGTGTACCTGGACCTTTGGATCCGTCTGTTCAGACGTGCTGGTCCAGAACTCCCTGAATGCTCCCGGTCTGAACCTGGTCAATTATCTCTGCAGCGGTTCTGAATAAACCGAATATGAAAAGACGTTCGCCACGATAACCGGCGACGCATCGGTGTGGAAATGAGCGGTGGCTGGTGTTTCCATCACTGCATGATCACCTGACTCCAACGACCCAATCAGAAGCAAGCGAAGAGAAGGAGTATGAGCTCTGCGAAGTAAGCTGTGATGCTAACTCCGTTGTGTCGACAGCTGCGACGCTAACTCAGTTTGGTTGACAGCGGCCACGCCAACTCTGTTTGGTCGACAGCGGCCACGCCAACTCTGTTTGGTTGACAGCGGCCACGCCAACTCTGTTTGGTCGTCAGCGGCCACGCCAACTCTGTTTGGTCGTCAGCGGCCACGCCAACTCTGTTGGGTCGACAGCTGCGACGTTAACTCCGTTGGGTCGACAGCGGCGATGCTAACTCCGTTGGGTCGTCAGCGGCGACGCCAACTCCGTTGGGTCGACAGCGGCGACGCCAACTCCGTTGGGTCGTCAGCGGCGACGCTAACTCCGTTGGGTCGACAGCGGCGACGCCAACTCTGTTGGGTCGACAGCGGCGACGCTAACTCCGTTGGGTCGACAGCGGCGACGCCAACTCCGTTGGGTCGACAGCGGCGACGCCAACTCCGTTGGGTCGACAGCGGCGACGCCAACTCTGTTGGGTCAACAGCTGCGACGCCAACTCTGTTGGGTCGACAGCTGCGACGCCAACTCCGTTGGGTCGACAGCGGCGACGCCAACTCTGTTGGGTCGACAGCTGCGACGCTAACCCTGTTGGGTCAACAGCTGCGACGCTAACTCTTTTTGGTCGACAGCGGCGACGCTAACTCCGTTGGGTCGACAGCGGCGACGCTAACTCCGTTGGGTCAACATCGGCTTTTGCTGCCGTTCCCTTCGGCCAGCGGAGCCAGAGCCTTTAAGCAGCTGCTCACTCAGTGGAACCAGAGCCAGAACTACACAGGCCGGATAGCTTCTAGATTTGTCGGTTCTGGAGAAAATGCATGAAAAGCTCGGCTACGGATTGAGTGCGATGCTGATGAGGTGCCGCCATTTTGCTCTGCTGTCTGCAGCTTTGTCCAAAAGGAACCCCCAAGTCCACACCATCCTGCTGAACCCCCACGTCCACCTGCTGGGCGACGAGGCCGCCTGCATCGCCTACATCCGCCTCACCCAGTATGTGGACGGCGGCGGCGTGCCGCGCACCATGCAGTCAGAGGAGACCCGCGTCTGGCACCGCCGCGACGGCAAATGGCAGAACATCCATTTCCACCGCTCCGGCTCGCTCACCGTCCCCACCAAGTAGGACCCGCCCACCAACATGGCCGACTGACCAGAGGGGGTTTGTGTCTGACCGTCATGTGACCTTTTTTCTTCCAGCTGAAGACGCTCCTGGACCACAGCTGGCGTCCAGCAGTCGGCTGACCCCGCCCACCCCCTGGCCTTCGCTATAGCTCCGCCCTCAGTTTGGGTCTGTGGTTCTGTCGGGCCGATGAGGAGGATCCACGGTTCTGGAGGTTCCAGTCGGCAGCAACAGCTTTAGATCCAGATGTTTAAGCCCCGCCCCCATCGCCGTCAGTTTGAGCTCAGCTTCCTGCTAAAACTTTTCCTGCTTTAACCCCCCCCCCCTCTGCGCCCCCCACCCCCCCACCCCCACCCCAACAGGACCGATTTATTCTGCTGTTTATCAGACTTCATCATCATGATGCCCCCCCCCCCAGGTTTAAAGGGAAACTTTAGTTGTTTTTTATTTGGTTTAATCATGTTTAATTGATTCATTGATGTTTATTACGAAGCAACAAGCCGGATGTAATTTTAATGAAATGTCAAATAATAAAATGTCTTTTAGACTAAAAGTCGACCGTTTTTGGCTTCAGTTCCTTCGTTCATCTGCTGCAGCGTCTCTTCATCCTGGAAGGTGACGCTTGGAGTCGATGGGCCGCTAAAACCTGCGCCATGCTAACTCTAGCTGTTAGCTTAGCATCTAGGTGGAAGCCGCTTCAACCTTCTTCAACAGTCGTTTGAGTTTGATGCCCGATCCAACGAACATGATTCAACTATCGGTTTTATGTCCTTAGTGCCTGAAGCATCACATGGTTAAATGCGTTTTAACGAGGTTTTAAAGGAAAGTTTCTAAATTCATCGCTTTGATCATTTCCTGGTTAAAATGATGATTTCTAGAAACGGAACCAGAATCGTTCCTTAAGCAAATGACTTCCTGACTAATTCGACCGTTAACAATAAAATCTGAGCAACTTCAGCCGCATTAATACATTAATAATTGGCAATCCTTTCGGGGAAAGGCTGGTCTGATTCAGAGAGACGGCATCCATCCCACTCTGGAAGGCATCTGGAGTCCTCCAGGGTCCAGAGCAGGAAGACTCCTGGATGGGTAACGGTAAAGAAGAGTGAATAATTACCAAATGTAGCCCAGATATCTAAGAAAACTTTTCATGACTCGATCTGAGATAATTGGATTAATGGTCTCACAGAAACCTGGCTGCAGCAGGAGGATGACGTTAGCATAAATAGCTAACAGCAGCCATCTTTCAGGCCAATCAGCAGCTACAGGGATCCGGTTTCTTCCTCCTTCACTCAGGCGTCACTCTGCAGAGGAACATGGAGGTCAAGTCACACCAAACGTTTCACAGAGTTCACTAGAGGAGTCCTCTGAATGTTCACCCTGATAGAAGAAGTCTCAGGCTGTTTGCTTTTCCCAAGCAGGTTTGAACCGGTTATTATCGGACGGGACGTTCCGCCTCCTCTGGCTGCACAGGTCCGATTCATCACGGTTCTGTTGGTTTGAGTGAGAACTTCAATAAATCCATCCTGCTTAGTCATGAACGTGCATCCAAACGTAACGAAGCAGAGTCCATTAACGCCCCTCAGGGTCACGCAAACTCTGTGAATTAATGCCTGAGACCATGTTTCAAAATAAAGAGTATCAATTCTGACATGTCCACCTTTTTTATTTACCTATTAGACTTTTTTTATTCTCATTCACTGTTATTAGAACCAAATAAAACCCTTTTTATTTTCACAGGATTACTTTTACTTCCAGGTGATAGATGAGGTCATTTAGACAAAGCCCGGCTAAATCAGGAGGAATTCCAAAGTAAACCTCCCCTCTAGTCACTCTGTGCTCTCAATCTCTCTGCTATCAGTTCATAATGACATCTGAACACCTGCAGGTCATGTGACCCGCTGGGTCACCTGGAGGTGTTTCTATATTCAGGGTTCAATGAAAACAGTTTAGCAGCAACTTGGCACAAAATGGCTAACATTGGTGGTCTGGTTGGAAGGGGGGGGGGGTGCAGCTTTTATTTTGAAAGGCGTTACTGCTGTGATCCTTAGTTTCCATGTATGAACATATATGAACTGCAGCAGTCGATTTCCTGTAGAATTCCAATTATTGTTCTCAAAAACAAAATAGATAGATAAAAAATATTGACGACCAAACTTCCACCAACCAGACCCTTTTTTATCACAACTTCACTCAGAGATTGTGGGGGAAAAAAGACATCTGTGAAATATTTTCCTCAAACATAAACCCTTAAACCAACTACCAGTTTTAGTCCGTGAGGCAGACACCCTGTCTACTTTTAAGGCTAGGCTTCAAACTTTCCTTTTTGATAAAGCTTCTAGTTAGAGTGGCTCAGGTTATCCTGATCTATCTCTATAGTTCTGCTGCTATAGGCTTAGACTGCTGGAGGACATAGGGACCCCTTTTTCATCATTCTGCTTCATTCTATCTCTATTCTCCATCCTGGAGAGAAATATCAGCTGTGCTGCTGCTTCCTGTCTGGTTTAGTCTCTGGTT